GGGGTTGGGGAGGGGATGGGGAGGGGTCAGGGAGGGGCGGGGAGGGGTTGGGGAGGGGTCGGGGAGGGGCGGGGAGGGGTTGGGGAGGGGTGGGGAGGAGCTGAGGACGGGGTGTGGATGTTAGTCAAGGTTATCCTGGGGGAAGCACTAACATACATCAGGTGTAGGGGGGAGAAGATACCTCCACGTCACTGGATCAAGAGCCCTTTAACATCATCAAGATACCTGTGTAAGTTACTCCAGTACCTGCTGTGATGTTATACTGTGTAGGACACTCGTTCTGGTTGTTAATAGGCTGTTGTGGGTGGCATCCTGGGCAAGGGTTCTTAAGAACACTGGGAACAAGCCACTTGCCTGGCTATCGTTGGTTATTCCTAGGATTCAGGGAAACCGGTTAGGCAGACTCGAATCCTGGAGGTGGGAAGTACAGTGCCTGCACTCTGAAGGATGGTTGGGGATATTTGCTGTTTGGAGGAACGTCTGAACCGCAGTGTGGGCGCACCTCTGGCGACACAGTGATGGTGAATCACTCGGGTCACCCTGCCTTGGTGGGAGACTTTCTTGTCCCATGTTATTATTAAGAGGATGAGAAAGAAGGAGCACTGCGGCAGGCCTACTGGCCCATGCTAAGCAGGTTATTAATACTCTCGTGGGAAGCGTTAAACCTGTAGGGATCACAGAGCTCCCGAGGGAACGGAATACGTTCAAGACTCTATTCAAGGAACTGGAGCAGTGATCCACTGCCTTGGATCAAGAGCCCTTCACCAGCATCAAGGACTGGTGACTGTTAGATATTATAACAATTAGATATGGTACCATCTCTAATTGTTATAATTATAATCATAATTTTTAAAGGGGTGGAGGGGTAAGCCAGCGGAAGGCCTCGGTCAGATGACCAGAAGCTCCAGCTGTGGGTCATCATATGACCGGGTCAGGAAACACTTGTCCTGTTTCCTGACAATCCTTACCTAACCTAACCTAACCTACCTGGAGGGCAGTCCGGGGATCAACGCCCCCGCGGTCCGGTCCACGACCAGGCCTCCCGGTGGATCAGGGCCTGATCAACGAGGCCGTTACTGCTGGCCGCGCGCAATCCAACGTACGAACCGCAGCCCGACTGCTCCGACACTGACTTGACGTATCTGTCCAGCTCCCTCTTGAAGACAACCAGGGGTCTACTGGTAATGCCCCTTATTGCTGGTGGGAGGCTGTTGAACAGTCTTGGGCCCCGGACACTTATTGCATTTTCTCTTAGTGTACCAGTGACACCCCTATTTTTCACTGGAGTATGTTGCATCGCCTGCCAAGTCTTTTGCTTTCATATGGAGTGATTGCTGTGTGCATATTAGGGATCAGTCCCCCCAATATCTTCCAGGTGTAGATTATGATATATCTCTCTCGCCTGCGCTCCAGTGAGTACAAGTCAAGTGCTTCCAGGCGCTCCCAGTAGTTAAAGTGTTTAATGGAACTTACACGTGCAGTAAAGGTTCTCTGTACATTCTCTAGCTCTGCAATTTCACCTGCCTTGAATGGGGATGTTAATGTACAGCAGTATTCCAGCCTAGAGAAAATAGGCAAGGTTAGGTTAGATAAGGTTAGGTTGTCTTTATTTGAAGACGCTACGACATCCAGCGGCTTTATCAATAGATACACAGATGATATACGAAGACAGTGGAAGATAAGATAATCAGTCCCCTACTGAGTGACTCGCAGAATACTACTACTACTACTACTACTACTACTACTACTACTACTACTACTAATAATAATAATAATAATAATAATAATAATAATAATAATAATAATAATTTTTATTTCCATAAGTACATGATACAACTTATACAGACCATAGTTGACATCAGTGACATACTACTATATAGAAAGCCGCTTGTTATGTAGAGCATTTCCCGCACCACACAAGTCGCCTACCACCCAGGTACCTATTTTACTGCTAAGTGAACAGAGACAGCAGGTATCTTAAGGACACACGTCCTAATGTTTCCACCCGTACCGGGGATCGAACCACGGACCTCAGCGTGTGAGGTGAGTGCGCCACCAACCCAGCTACGGGACGGGGCAGGGAATCATTCTTACAATGAACGTAATATGTTGCCAAGAATAGAGTTTGTAACTTGACAGGTACTGACACCTGGGATAAATGATGTAACATTTATCATTATATAGTACCTGAGTCCTTCATCAGGACTGAGGTGCTGATCACCGGCTTCCAAGTGCTAGTAGACAGGTGTGGGTGGCATCCTGGGGACAAAATTGATCTAAGTTGCGAGAAATGCTCAACATAACCCGGGACTTTCTATATAGTATGTCATTGATGTCAGCTATGGTCTGTATAAGTTGTATCATGTACTGGTAGCAATAAAGATTATTATTATTATTATTATTATTATTATTATTATTATTATTATTATTATTATTATTATTATCATTATTATTATTATTATTATTATTATTCAGTTGACAAGCAAGTTACGTTTGTTGCTACACTTCCCATCATTGTCTTTAGCACTGGCAAATATGCAACTGTATACTTCCTACTGAGGAATGAGACACTTGTGAAACGTTTTGGAACCTTTGTTGAGAAAACGTTTCGTCAGCTCGTGGCTTCATCAGTCAAATGCAAAGAGAAGTGGAAAAAGAGGAGGAGTTTAAGGTGATCAGTCCCTCACTTCAGTCTATCAGTCTTGATGGACTTTCCTGGGTTTCTGTAACATTGCAAGCTCCTGATGATGTGTTGATTGCAACATGAGAGGCCTCGAGCTAATATTCAACTCCCCCTGGGTTGTTTTGTATATTTTACTATGTGTGATAATCTTTGTAACTGTAATTATGTGTACCTGTACCTGTACCTGTATAAACACACAAGGGGTTATAATCATAAGCGTTATTTTTAAAGGGGTGGAGGGTAAGCCAGTAGAAAGCCTCGGTCAGATGACCAAAAGCTCCGGCTGTGGGTCATCATATAACTAAGACCCGCGTCAGGAAACACTTGTCCTGTTTCCTGACAAATCTTACCTAACCTAACCGAACCTAACCTAACTTAACGTTACCTAACCTAACCTAACCTACTTACCTAACCTAACCTAACCTAACCTAACTTAACGTTACCTAACCTAACCTAACCTAACCTAACCTAACCTAACCTAACCTAACCTTACTTAACGTTACCTAACCTAACCTAACCTTACTTAACTGTTACCTAACCTAACCTAACCTAACCTAACTTAACGTTACCTAACCTAACCTAACCTAACCTAACCTAACCTAACTTAACGTTACCTAACCTAACACCTACATAACCTACAACCTTAACCTAACTAACAACCTAACCTAACCTAACACTAACCTAACCTAACCTAACCTAACCTAACTACTAATTACGTTACCTAACCTAACCTAACCTACCTAACCTAACCTAACCTAAACGTAACTTACTAACTACTAACCTACTAACCTACTAACCTAACCTATGAACCTAACCTAACCTAACCTAACCTTACGTTACCTAACCTAACCTAACCTAACCTAACTACTAACGTTACCTAACTCTAACCTAACCTAACTTAACCTTAACCTAACCTAACTTAACCTAACCTAACCTAACCTAACCTAACCTAACCTAACCTAACTATACCTAACCTAACCTAACCTACTACCTAACCTAACCTAACCTAACCTAACTAACCTAACCTAACCTATACCTTAACTTACTAACCTAACCTAACCTAACTTAACGTTTCTACCTAACCTAACCTAAACCTATAGTAACCTAACTCTAACCTAACCTAACCTAACCTTAACTTAACCTTAACCTAACCACTACTAACCTAACCTAACCTACCTAACTCTAACCTACCTAACCTAACCTTACCTAACCTTACCTAACCTAACCTAACCTAACTTAACGTTACCTAACCTAACCTAACCTAACCTAACCTAACCTAACCTAACCTAACTTAACGTTACCTAACCTAACCTAACCTAACTTAACATTACCTAACCTAACCTAACCTGACCTAACTTAACCTTACCTAACCTAACCTAACCTAACTTAACATTACCTAACCTAACCTAACCTAACCTGACCTAACTTAACCTTACCTAACCTAACCTAACCTAACCTAACCTAACCTAACCTAACTTAACGTTACCTAACCTAACCTAACCTAACCTAACCTTACCTAACCAAACCTAACCTAACTTAACGTTACCTAACCTAACTTAACGTTATCTAACCTAACCTAACCTAACCTAACCTAACCTAACCTGAGGTTTACTGAGTCCAGTTCGAATCCCGAATTAAGTTTATCCGAACCTAATACACATAAATACAGTTACATAAATTATCATAACTACCCAACCTATGTATAAATTACTAAATATTCCACCAAAACCAAGTAACTTATTCCAATAACAAACCTGTATATCTAACTACGTATTAACTGAGGTTATTACGTTACGATACCCGTGGTAGTGCTAAAGTCCCCCGATCAAACGGGAATACCGGGTTACGATTCCCGACGAGGGTAGAAACATTGGTCGTGTTTCCTAATACACCGGTTGTCTATATTCCATTCAGTAAAAAGGTCCTGGAGTTTAGTGGACTGTAGGGGTCGCATCACTACAAACTGCTAAATGCCGATTCACAGCATAAGCAAGCGGCTTTCTATATAGTAGAGTAACTATGTCGCTATGTCTGTATACCTTGTACATGTACTTTATAACTTTACATGTACTTGGGTATCCTTGTACATGTCTTGGTACCATTGTACATACTTGTATACTTGTACATGCTTGTATAACTTTGCTATGTATTTGTAACCTTGTACATGTACTTGTATACCTTGTACATGTATTGTATACCATGTACGTGTACTTGTATACCTTGTACCTGTACTTGTATACCTTGTACATGTACTTGTATACCTTGTACACGTACTTGTAGTAAAGAAATATATTATTATTAAATGTTATGTACTAACCTCCACCATTCTTATAGCAGAGGTATGGGAACCTCCACACGTTGCCCAGACCAACACAGAATCCTATGACTGAGAGAAGGAAGTCTAGCTTGTTACTCCACTGTTCTCTCTCTTTCGTTTCTCCCTTCATTTTGATCTTGTCGTTCATCGTCTCTCCCGTCTTCTTGGCACCCAACAACCAGATAATTCCCGTCTGGAGACTTTAAATCAGCACCGAAATCCAAAAACGTTCGTTTGGTCAAGAGATCTTCACTGTTGACGCAGGGGAATGAAGGTACAGCTGGTAACGATGGTTGAGTTCACTCTACAGCACATCTCTGGTACTGTAAGGGTGATGGAACAGTGTGTACACGTCTTCGTTAACGTTCATGAACAAATACCTACTTCACGTGTCGACGGCCGAGCTGACAGTGGAGCCTCCGGCTCAGCACCGCTGCTTATATAGTAGAGGTGCGGCTTGGGAGCTGCGGTTGCCGCACCTCACCGTCATGTGTTGGTGAGTTAGCAAGTTGATTTAGCACAGGTACAATTATCATACATAATGTAAATTACCCAGGATAACCCAAAAACAAGTCAAAGTGACTTATTTCCACTGGGGTCCTCGTATTTCCACTGAGGTCCTTGTATTTCCACTGGAGGTCCTTGTATTTCCACTGGAGGTCCTTGTATTTCCACTGGAGGTCCTTGTATTTCCATTGGGGTCCTCGTATTTCCACTGGGGTCCTCGTATTTCCACTGGGGGTCCTCGTATTTCCACTGGGGGTCCTCGTATTTCCACTGGGGTCCTCGTATTTCCACTGGGGTACCTTGTATCTCACAGCCCCAGTAAACCAGAGTCTAGTCCCCAGGGTTTACACCGTCCCTCATCGCACCTAACAAGGACCCTAATGGAAACAAATAACTTGGTCAGACATTTCTGGATTATCCTACGTAACATATACCACATATGCTGCTATATATGATAGTTTATGTAACTGTAGTTATGAATGGTAGTAGCTGCATAACTTCCAGCTACCACGTTATTCAGGTGGGTTAGTTAGTTACAAGGTGGAGTGTCCTATACCAGCTGCCTTTATTTTCCGTTCTATACCAGCTGCCTTTACACTCCGTTCTATACCAGCTGCCTTTACACTCCGTTCTATACCAGCTGCCTTTACACTCCGTTCTATACCAGCTGCCTTTACACTCCGTCTCATACCAGCTGCCTTTACAATCCGTCACATACCAGCTGCCTTTACAACTCCGTTCAATACCAGCTGCCTTTACACTCCTTCATACCAGCTGCCTTACACTCCGTCTATACCAGCTGCCTTTACAATCCGTTCATACCAGCTGCCTTTACAACTCCGTACATACCAGCTCCTTTACAATCCGTCACATACCAGCTGCCTTTACAATCCGTCACATACCAGCTGCCTTTACAATCCGTCACATACCAGCTGCCTTTACAATCCGTCACATACCAGCTGCCTTTACAATCCGTCACATACCAGCTGCCTTTACAATCCGTCACATACCAGCTGCCTTTACAATCCGTCACATACCAGCTGCCTTTACAATCCGTCACATACCAGCTGCCTTTACAATCCGTCACATACCAGCTGCCTTTACAATCCGTCACATACCAGCTGCCTTTACAATCCGTCACATACCAGCTGCCTTTACAATCCGTCACATACCAGCTGCCTTTACAATCCGTCACATACCAGCTGCCTTTACAATCCGTCACATACCAGCTGCCTTTACAATCCGTCACATACCAGCTGCCTTTACAATCCGTCACATACCAGCTGCCTTTACAATCCGTCACATACCAGCTGCCTTTACAATCCGTCACATACCAGCTGCCTTTACAATCCGTCACATACCAGCTGCCTTTACAATCCGTCACATACCAGCTGCCTTACAATCCGTCACATACCAGCTGCCTTTACAATCCGTCACATACCAGCTGCCTTTACAATCCGTCACATACCAGCTGCCTTTACAATCCGTCACATACCAGCTGCCTTTACAATCCGTCACATACCAGCTGCCTTTACAATCCGTCATAACATTAACAGAAGTAACCTAGTGATTCGTGTAACTCCTCTTCCCTACATGAGTGTACAAATGAGTCGTACAACATGACTGTACAATGTAAGTGGTACACATGACGGGTACAAATACTGTACACATGGCAGGTATAACAGACTGGTACAACATGACTGGTATAACATGACTGGTACAACATGACCTGGTATAACAGACTGGTACATACAGCAGGTACACTAACTGTACAATTGAGTACAACATGACTGGTACAATAATGGTCAGCATGACAGTAACATGATGGTACAACATGAGTGTACAACATGACTGGTACAATATGAGTGGTACAACATGCTGGTACAATATGAGTGGTACAACATGACAGGTAACAATATGCAGTACAACATGACTGACAGTGTACAACATGACTGGTACAATATGAGTGGTACAACATATTGGTACAATATGAGGTACAACATGACTGGTACAATATGCAGGTACAACATGACTGGTACAATATGACAGGTACAACTATGACAGGTACTAACATGACTGGTACAATATGAGTGGTACACACATGGCTGGTACAATATGAGTGTACAACATGACTGGTACAATATGAGAGTACAACATGACTGGTACAATATGCAGTGTACAACATGACTGGTACAATATGAGTGGTACAACATGAACTGGTACAATATGAGTGGTACAACATGACTGGTACAATATGAGTGGTACAACATGACTGGTACAATATGACAGGTACAACATGACAGGTATAACATGACTGGTACAATGTAAGTGGTACAACATGACTGGTACAATATGAGTGGTACAACATGACTGGTACAATATGAGTGGTACAACATGACTGGTACAATATGACTGGTACAACATGACTGGTACAATATGACAGGTACAACATGACAGGTATAACATGACTGGTACAATATGAGTGCTACAACATGGTTGGTACAATATGAGTGGTACAACATGACTGGTACAATATGAGAGATACAACATGACTGGTACAATATGAGTGGTACAACATGACTGGTACAATGACGGTACAATGAAGGTATACAATGACTGGTACAATATGAGTGTACAACATGACTGGTACAATATGAGTGGTACAACATGACTGGTACAATATGACAGGTACAACATGACAGGTATAACATGACTGGTACAATATGAGTGGTACAACATGACTGGTACAATATGAGTGGTACAACATGACTGGTACAATATGAGTGGTACAACATGACTGGTACAATATGAGTGGTACAACATGACTGGTACAATATGACAGGTACAACATGACAGTAAACATGACTGTACAATATGAGTGCTACAACATGATGGTACAATATGAGTGGTACAACATGACTGGTACAATATGAAGTGTACAACATGAACTGGTACAATCATGACGGTACAATCAGTGACACTTGGTACAATATGAGTGGTACAACATGACTGGTACAATATGAGTGGTACAACATGACTGGTACAATATGACAGGTACAACATGACGGTAAATACATGACTGGTACAATATGACAGGTACAACATGACTGGTACAATATGAGTGGTACAACATGGCTGGTACAATATGAGTGGTACAACATGACTGGTACAATATGAGATACAACATGACTGGTACAATATGACTGGTACAACATGACTGGTACAATATGAGTATAACAACAATGACTGGTACAATATGAGTGGTACAACATGACTGGTACAATATGAGTGGTACAACATGACTGGTACAATATGACAGGTACAACATGACAGGTATAACATGACTGGTACAATATGAGTGGTACAACATGACTGGTACAATATGAGTGGTACAACATGACTGGTACAATATGAGTGGTACAACATGACTGGTACAATATGAGTGGTACAACATGACTGGTACAATATGACTGGTACAACATGACTGGTACAATATGAGTGATACAACATGACTGGTACAATATGAGTGGTACAACACGACTGGTACAATATGAGTTGTACAACATGACTGGTACAATATGACAGGTACAATATGACAGGTATAACATGACTGGTACAATATGACTGGTACAATATGAGTGGTACAACATGACTGGTACAATATGACAGGTACAACATGACAGGTATAACATGGCTGGTACAATATGACAGGTACAACATGACTGGTACAATATGAGTGGTACAACATGACTGGTACAATATGACAGGTACAACATGACTGGTACAATATGACAGGTACAACATACAGGTATAACATGGCTGGTACAATATGACAGGTACAACATGACTGGTACAATATGACAGGTACAACATGACTGGTACAATATGACAGGTACAACATGACAGGCATAACATGGCTGGTACAATATGACAGGTACAACATGACTGGTACAATATGAGTGGTATAACATGACTGGTACAATATGACAGGTACAACATGACAGGTATAACATGGCTGGTACAATATGACAGGTACAACATGACTGGTACAATATGAGTGGTATAACATGACTGGTACAATATGACAGGTACAACATGACTGGTACAATATGACAGGTACAACATGACTGGTACAACACATGACAGGTAACAACATGGCTGGTACAATATGACAGGTACAACATGACTGGTACAATATGACAGGTATAACATGGCTGGTACAATATGACAGGTACAACATGACTGGTACAACATGACAGGTATAACATGGCTGGTACAATATGACAGGTACAACATGACTTGTACAATATGACAGGTATAACATGGCTGGTACAATATGACAGGTACAACATGACTGGTACAATATGACAGGTACAACATGACTGGTACAACATGACAGGTATAACATGGCTGGTACAATATGACAGGTACAACATGACTGGTACAATATGACAGGTATAACATGGCTGGTACAATATGACAGGTACAACATGACTGGTACAATATGACAGGTACAACATGGCTGGTACAATATGAATGGTATAACATGGCTGGTACAATATGACAGGTACAACATGACTAGTACAATATGACAGGTACAACATGACTAGTACAATATGACAGGTACAACATGACTGGTACAATATGACAGGTGCAACATGACTGGTACAACATGACAGGTATAACATGGCTGGTACAATATGACAGGTACAACATGACTGGTACAATGTGACAGGTATAACATGGCTGGTACAATATGACAGGTACAACATGACTGGTACAATATGACAGGTACAACATGGCTGATACAATATGACAGGTACAACATGGCTGGTACAATATGACAGGTACAACATGACTGGTACAATATGACAGGTACAACATGACTGGTACAATATGACAG